GGGGCGGGCCCAGCGCGGACCTCTGGGTCTCAGCCCTCGGACACTACGCACCTGGCACCGAGCTTCCGCCCGGAGGGAGACAGCCTGGCGTCACGCCGCCCGGCTCCCTGTCCGTGACTGGCCACTCCGTTGTTCGAAGTTGTTTTCCTCTCAAGACCAACCGCATCCCTAGGACGTAACCCCACTCTCGGTCCTTCCCGCCGGGGACCGCTCCCTCACCCGTCAACCCTGTGGGTATTGTGCTGTCCCGCTTTGGTCCTGGGTCGAATGAGATGACAAATACGACAAATTTCACTGTGTATACTAGCAATATGCACACACATGCCAGTGTCCGAACTGCTACGTGCTACATTTTGGATTACTCTGATCAATCTCGGTTCGTGTATTGGAAAACACAGGGACTCCGTGAAGCTGCTTTTTCCTAGAGGACGGATAGGGTCATAGCTCTGAGCTCCCTACTTCTAAAGTTTCTCCTCCTGGGTTGTCTATGTTCTCTTTTTATCCTGAGCTGCATTGACTAGGTTGTGAGGTATGTGGCAGGCCGGGAGGCCCCCGGAAGCCGGCCCCATCACAGCTCGTGAGTATCTTTGATTGGTCTTTCGTGGAATTTGAACTAAATCTATGAGCCTTATTCAATATCTATAATTCTATGATTTTTTTAAATTATGGGAAAATAATGAAAGATGTTTACATGAATAACGTTTGCCCTTACTGTGCTATGAGTGAGTTTTTTGTAGTGTGTCTGGGTGCATGTGCAAGAGAGTAGGAAAAATGTTTCTGAAACAAAACTTGACAAATATTTGTAACGAAAAGTCAATTTAAAGATTGCTATAATTGCGCTATAGAAACAATGCAAGTATTAAACAGAATATACAATCGCCTGTCATTTCTTCCTTGGGTTACTGGGCTGTGATGTTTATCTGATGACATGTCTACCTGCAGACTAATGCGCAACGTGTGGAAGTAGCTTTGCAACACGCACCATTTACCATTTTCAAGGCCTTAAATAAGAGCTGAGGGAGGAGGGCCCTCCCTGGTGGTGCCAGGGGTGAAAGCCAGCATACAAGGCTACGGGCAGCCGAGAGAGTGACCCCCAGGGCGCAGCAGGCCAGGTCTCCTGTCTCCCCGCTGTTGCCCTCTGCAGTGGATTTCAGTAGATCGGCCTGCTCTGCTCCCCGCTCTGTCTCTGGGGAAGCCTCTCACCCCCTGTGCCTCTGGCCTGTACCCCAGTTCTGTATGCATAAATAAATCTGGTGCCATACACCCCGAACCCCTGAATCTGGAAAATCAGTGACATCAACCCAAACCGGGACCATGTAAATATGAAGGGTGTGGAAGGCAAACGAGGGTATCAGGGTCATTATCTGAAAGGTGGGGAGCATCTATTACAGACCCCAACACAGGCACATGGGGAGACCCTCTAGGAGGAGGAAGGCACAGAGTCTCGGAGAACCAGGCAAGGCTTAGTGACCTGCAGCGCGAGGGAGGGCCGGTCAGGGAAGGGGACCTCGCCAGCCTGGCTCCCCAGAGGAAACCGGGAAGGGGAGGGGCGGCACCGTGGGGTGTCGGGTGGGGCCACGCGGCCCAGCCACGCGGCCACGCGCCTTCACCCGCCCGCGTCTCCCTGCCATCTCGACTCCACCCAGTGAGTCTCTCGCTAGACAGACCTCGGTTGCTGCCCTCAGAGAGGATTTTCACCAACCACGTATGGGAGCCCTGGGCCCCCAAGTGATTGAGAAACAGCCGTCGGCCCAGACACGTCCCCTTCGTCTGGGCCCAGTGGCCTTCGGTCAGCGGGGTGGAACAGCCGTCGGGGCAACCGGCCTGCCCGCGGTTTCTCACCGGCCCAAGCAGGACAAGGGGCGGCTCTCGCGCCGCCCGCTCTTCGCCCAACTCTGTCATGTCAACCCTCTTTAAAGAAGATACCAGGCATCTGCAAGATGTGGGGGAGATTCCGGCCATCTCAGAACAACGGAGTAGAAGAACCAAAAAGTGCTGCCCCTACCCCAGTCGGGCAGACTTCGCCAGCTCCCCTGCTGTGTTTCAAAGCACACGCTGGGGACTTGGGGGGACGGGCGCTGTGAGCTGGGTGGTGAGCCCAGGCCCCCAAAGCTGTGAGTTCTGGAAAGCTGGGCTGCAGGAAGCACACAGGCTCACACTGAAGCAGAAAGGCTTGCCCAAGCCTTAATCTCACCGCAGATCCTTCCAGAGCAGGAAGCACCCCAAGGCCTGTGAGGTGGCTGAGCACAGCCAGGTGCTGGAGCACATCAGCTGCTGGTGAAGACCTGCCCGCCTGCGGGGCTCTGACCGCTCACCTCAATCGAACACGCTCCACCCCTGGGGAGGGGAGTGTGAGATTCAAAATTCAGGACAAACTGGGGTAAGTCTAAGACGCCAAATTCTCGAAAGCGATGGACATCAGACAACTTTTCGTGGGTGAGGACAGTGTGAATTGGAGGGGTGTAGAATAGGTAACGAGAGGGTTGGACACCACATTATCTTCCCTCAGGAATCGCCCTCAAAAACTTCTCACTGGGTACCTGCCTTTGGGTTGTAGCACACCTGCGGAGGCCACACTCCACTCAGCACCCACACACCTGTCCGTCCATCACCACACACCACACATGCCCCTCCAGCTCTCAACTGGGGGTCCTGATACAAGCCCCCCAAAAGTCGGGTGTTCCTGGTGGGCTGACGGTTCCAGGAGGCTGGCCACAGACCCGGGCAGTGTCTGCAGGTACCAAGCAGGTGTGGAAGGGACGGGTGCAGGTGGCGGGAGGGGGCGGCGGCAACTGAGGGCCACCTCCCCGGGCAGCAGCGCTCGGGGCTCTGGGGAGCAGGCTCCTGGGGCGGGGCCCCAGGCCCAAGGGGGCCGTGGGGAGCCACACCCAAGGGCAGGTGGCAGGAGGCCCTGGCCGCAGGGCCCAGCCGTCCTGAGAACTTTGCTTTTGACGCAGCGTGATGGGAAGTCAGCCAGCGATGGGACACACCCGTGCTCTTGCAGCCAAGCCAGCACCGCCGGGGCGCCAGACTCCAGAGCCCCTGGGGTGCTCCAGAGCCCCTGGGGTACTTCCTCAGCCGTCAGCCCCTCCAGAGGGCTCCGCAGGGCCCTGTGGGTGGACGGGCCCCCTGAGCCAGCACCCGGCTGAGGGCAGCCCGGAGTGGGGTGGCCACCCAACAAAGAGAGGTGCTGGTGGGGGAGGCAGATGGGGCTGCAGCGGTGACAGATGACTGAATTTGGGGTGACCCACACAAACACTAGCAATTGCAGAGACGTCCAGTTAAGTATTTTTAAATGCTGGTTTTAGTGCTGTTGGCGGGTGAAGGGGTCAGCAGACCCCGAGACAAGCTCATCACAGGAGGGGCCAGGCC